CGGCTTCCAGGTGATCATGTCGCATATAGTTGAAGCTCCCCCGCACCTTCTATGTCTCCAGAGCCATTACATTTAGCTGCTGGGGGAATCGGCTACCTGCCTGTCTCAGACTACAGAATGGAAGTTCTTTGAGGCAGAGACAGACCTGCTATCACTGTATCTTCAGACCCAACAGAGGATGTGGGCCCCATAGAGTGGGCCACAAATCAATAAATGTAGTGCAAGAAGACAAGCAGGCAGAGGGGCAGGCAGCCGTGGGTCTGGCTGAAAGCTCAGGTCCAAGATCAGCCATCAGCCTCCAAGGCTGCTAAACTCACGGTGTAAGTCATAGGACAGGCCATATAGACTGAGAAAGGAGGTCTGAGGAAACCTCAACACTGAAAGGGAAGGGACAGAGAAGAAGGATCCAGGGATGCCACTGAAGAGAAACAACAAGAGAAGTGCCCTGGAGACAAACCACAGACACAGCACTAGGAGTACACTGTACAAGAGCAACATATAAGAGAAGTGTCATGATTACTAGCATTGTTTTTTTATGATGCTAGCATAACAGTATTGTTCCAGCTGCTAGAGATGGCAAACAAAAAGGAGGAGGGGAAGGTAGGGGGAGGGGGAAGGGGAGACCAATCTTACTTATGAACACTTGTGTAAAAACCCTAAATAAATATCAAACAGAATTCCAACAGCACATTTTTAAAAAGAACACATCATGACCAAGTGGGTTATATTCCAGGAATGCAAGGATGGTTAACAGATGAATAGGAATAAATTAAATATACAACTCAAAAATCTAGGGAAAAAACAACAAACTAAAATAAAAATGTATTGAGTCACAAAACAGAAAAGCAGCATAAATCATACATAAATCAAAATTATTATTTGAAAAAACCCAATGAAATAGACAAAACACTACTTGATCTAGAGAAAAAAAGGAAGAAATAACAAACACAAAAAGTGAAAAATAACAAAGGGAAAATCTTACTGACAAAGAAGAAATTAAAAACACTCATAGGAGACTATATATTTCTTTGCTAACGAATTTAAAAATCCAGATGAAATGAATTTTCAAGGAATTATAATTTAGCAAAATTGATCCCAGTAAAGACAGGAAATTTAAACAGATTGATTTCCATAGGAAAAAAAATATAGTTATCAAAAATACCCTCTTGTCCCCAACACACACACACATATACACACTTTCCCAAGGGAATTCTATTAAACCATCAAAAACCAGAGAGAAGAGAAGAGAAAGAAGAAAAACTCCTAAATATTTTTACAAAGCAAGAATAAAACTAATAGTTATAAAAAGTGATATGTGAGCGTGTACACACAAACAAAGTACAAGAACACTCATGATAGCATTATTGCGGCAATGGAACTGTTAACAAGACAACCTCCATCAAGAGCAGAGCAGATAAACAAATTGTGATTATGTTCATCAGCAGTGAAAACGCACAAACTAGAAAGTCATATAACAACATGGGTAGGACTCAAAAACATTAAGCAAAAGAGAAAATTCTAAAGGATACAAATGACATGCTTCCCGCTTCAAAACAGACAAAATTAAACAATATGTTGTTTAGGGGTATAGATTAGCATGAAGGAGTTAAAACAGCTGGCCTCTGATACTTCACCCCTTTTATAGGCGAGATGCTTCTGAGGAAAGAAAGAAGGCAAGTGACCCCATCTAATCTCTTATAAATAGGCTAATAACTAGACTATCTAATAAACAGTCTAATGGTATTTGCTAAAATGAGAGTTCTTATTTCTGGATTGTCCTTAGCAATATGTTCTTGGCTAAGGATTACTTACAGTAAATAGACCCAGAATTTATAGATGTACGAGCCCTGACTCTCTGGGCTTTGCAGTAGACATGTTTCATAACTGAATACTACTCACTGGGTGAGAAGACCTGTGAACCTCACTTGGAGACTCTGTTTCTTGTTCTGAGTCAGACAGCACATGTCTGATGCAAGAAGACAGGACCTGTGGGTCACAAAGGATGTCCCAGACCACTCCCTGATTCTCTACACTTCTACTGCCCTGAATTCTCGAAAGTATTAGCATGGGTAGATACTGGGTAAGATCCCTGATTTGTCAGTTCTGATTTAATAATCTGATCCTTTGTGTTAGCTCACAGAATAAGCTGTTTTCAGGTTAAATTATAAAGAAAAGCAAGAGAACAGTGCTGGGTAGTAGTCGGACTGCCAGAAAGAGCTACAAAGGATACTTTCAAGTTATTATGAATAAGACTGATGAGTCAGATCAGAAGTAGAGCAGTACAACTCATAGAATAGGGGAAAAATATGTTAAATTTTATATCTGACAAGGATCTAGTATCCAGAATATCTATATAATTATTACAACTCAATAGTAATAAAACACCCAATTTAAAAATGAGCAAAAGAAATGAATAGTCATATCTTGACAGAAAATATGCAAATGGCCAATAGGCACTTTGAAAGATGTTCAACATCATTAGTCACCAGGAAAACGCAAATCAAATCAAAATGTATACCACTTCATGCCCACTGGGATGGTTAGAATTTAAAAAGATGGACAAAGAGAAGCATTAAGGAGGATGTAGAGAAACTAGAACCCTCATTATATGCCTGGCAGGAGGGTAAAATGGTGCCACCATTTTGGAAAACAGTCTAGCTGATCCTCACATAGCTAAACAGTTACCATATGACCAGCAATTTCACTCCTACATATATACCCAAGAGGATTGACAATGTACATACACAAATGTTCATAGCAACATTGTTTATAATAGTGGAAAGATGGAAATAAGACAAATGTCCATCAGATGGTGAATGGATACACAAAATGTGACATAGCTGGACAATAGAGTATTACTACAAAAAGGAACAAAGTACTAATACATGCTACAACATGGATGAATCTTAAAAACATGTTAAGTGAAAGCTAGTCACACAGACCACATGTTGGTTCCATTTATATGAAATGTCCATTTATATGAAAGAAAAGACAAATCTGAACAGAAGAGAGGAGATTAGTGGTTTGGGGGTAGGAGGTGTGGGGGGGCAGAGAGGAATGAAGAGTATCTGCTAATAGGCGTGTGGTTTCTTTTGGGGGTGATGAAAAATTCTGCAATATGACGGTGGTGATGGGTATGCAATCTGGTGACTATATTAAAATCCATTGAATTTACACTTTGAAATAGTTACCTTTATGATATGAGAGTGAAATCTGGGCGGCGGGGGGTTGGGGGGGATGTGAAAGAAAATGTAAAACACTGCTGATACAAAATCCTCAGGGACAGCCTGGTTCACTCCATTATTATGGGTAAGCTTGGGCCTAAACGAATAAACTTTCTTATTCAAAGTCATACCGGCCAAGGGGAAATGTGTTTCCAGATTCTGTCCCCCACTAGCCATGAAAAGAAATTGTGATGATGAGGCTTAGCAATAAGTAATTTGCTAGTCCCAAAATATGCTCTAACCTTCATTTAGAGCCCAGACAATAGTCACATCGGATAAATATCAATAACTTTAACAACAGTGGGCATTTGACCTAAAATTAACCCACTGGGAGCAGTTAGAACTCAGGAGGCCCTGAAGCCATGATGCATAACCCAAAGCATCATCAGTGCTCCACGGGCACGTGGACTCTGCAACTGTACAGGGCTCCGCTGTCATGCTCAGCAGGGCTCTGTGTTTGGCTTAACGCTCTGCTTTCACCATTTTGAAATTCTTATAAATTTTAACTTTAAACTTGTGTTTTACAAGTGAAGTCCAGTGCGCCAATGGGGCATGGGCATGCAATAGAGAAGTAGGTGCAATATGCATGTCTGCCATTCCTCGCACCCAGGGCACTGAAAGTGAGTGCCAGGAGAGTGCGGTACACCTCTGACTGGCTGAGCAGAGTCACTGACAGCCCCGGAGGCCACACTTTCCAGGTAAACGAGAACTTGCTTTACATGACGAGAGATGGCAACCCAAGGATCCTATCCCATCCTTTCTCAACAGTGTTACGTTTTTCCTGTGTTAACCAGCCATGTAGGCTGAAATGACGACATAGGGAAAGTGAGAAGACAGGAGAGCCCACAGCCCACAGTTCCTTTTCCTTTTAGCCTTCCTTACTCATCAGTAAGTTGAAGGTAGAGTGTTGACAGATTGAACACATATCAAGAAGTGAAGTAAAAATAGCTGAGTTAGTTTTGAACAGTGTTTCCACTCTTCCGGTAAGAACAAAATACCTGTGCCTGTAGGAGTAACAAACTACCGGATTTTGCTGATTCTGCATACAGGTTAAATGCCTTTATAATTGTATTTTAAACTGGCATTGGACAATATGAATATGAGCAGTAAAATTCCTGCTAATACTTTTAAATTTTAATGTTTCTTTCCTTACAATGACATGAAATAGCAAACTTTTTAAAAACAAACATAATCACAAGGTGAGAGAGACTGGGGAAGAAAGTAAAAGATGTTTAGTATCTTTAACAGCAGTTTTTTCCATTTTACTTTGTTCTACAAATGATGTAGCAGGCCCTGCCTGAAGATTCATCCCTATCAGATATAAGAACCATGACCTCTATCTGCCTGTCTGTCCTTGTTTCTCTGTCTCTGGCGCGCACGCTCTCTCTCTCTCTCCCTCTGTCTCTCTCTCTCTCTCTCTCTCTCTTTCAGCCTGAATGAAAGTACTGCTGGTAGAATGCATATTCTTTAGATTAAAATAGGAATAACTAAATAAATGAGCAAGCTACCAAGTTTCTGCTTGATTAGTGCTTCTCGCACTGGGGTGTACGTCCCAATTGCCAGGAGGCCTGTACAGCACAGAGTGCCAGGCCCACCCTCAGCGTTTCTGATTCAGCAGGTCTCGGCTGGGGCCTGAGAACCTGCATCTGGAAGAGCTCCCAGGTGTTGCAAGTGCTGTTATATCACACTCAGAGCCACAGGTCTAGAGTATGTTTACCTTGGCCTTTGACATTCGTCCAAGCGGCGAGATGCCTTACAAAAGGCATGTTCTGTTACCTCATAAATGTTCAACTGCTCCACTAAGTCCAGGTCAGTCCCTTTCTTGTTCAAGTGCCGCTGGGACACAGCTGCAATGCCCAGCTCCTCCAGGCAGTCCACCACGTCATAGAAGGTGTCTTGGTCTGGCAATCCTGACAACGTCTGGACAAAGAAAGAACAGGGCACAGACATGTCTTGAGGACCTGTCTCCAGGCTCTCAAGGCATTTTTATTTTTTGCGTAGTAGACAGTGGCCATGATCATAATAATACAGGACAAAGCAAGATAGAGGACAAGTTCATTTGAGAAAAGATTTCTTTAGCATAAGAAGAACAAACCCCAAGATCCCATGCTGTTAGGTGCTGCGTACTCTCCTCCCATTGAGTGTTGGCAGAACACTCCCATGGTTAGGTTACATTATATGGCAAGGGTGGAGGGATTTTACAGATGTCATTAAGGGCCCAAGTCAGTTGATCTTGAGTTAATCAAACAGGAGGTTATCCTGGGTGGGCCTGACGTAATCAGGTGAGCTCTTTAAAACTAGGCTGAGGTCTTTCCTGAACTCAGATACTAGAAGAACGGTCCTCCCATTGGCCCCTAAGCAGCAACAAGTCACCACGAGTTCTACAGCTGCAAGGAAATGAGCTCGGCCAACAACCACAAGAGCCTGGAAGAGGATCCCAGGCCTCAGCTGAGACTCCAGCCCCAGTCAACACCTTGACTGCAGCCTGGTGAGACTCTGAGCAGAGGACCTGGCTAGGCGGTGCTGGATGCCATCCCATGAAAACTGTGAGACGATACAGCTGTGCTGTTCTAAGCTGCTAAGTTTGTGGTAATTGGTTACATGGCAATAGAAAACCAACATAGTCAGTGATCAGAAACTCCTATTAAGAGCCATCTACCAACAGCTGAAGTGATAACAATTTAATGATTTCCTTTTCTTTCAGTCTGGTAGGCCTTCCCCTTGGTCTGCGTAATTTAGGAAAACATGAGAAATTGTAAAGCAGCAACTCAGAGACAAACAAACAAATAAATAACCCAAGAAAGAAAAAGCTGACTTCTCTTTGAATTCTTCCTCTGTTACAAGAAGGATGATCTCAGACCAAGCCTCTTGTCAGAACTGGAATGACCTTTGAGGTGATTTACTGTAAGTCCCTTATCTTATAACTGAGGGACAGAAAGGGCGGGAGGAAAGGAATTTACCAGAGGTTACAAGAGACCAGGTCTTCAGTAACCTCTGAAGACCTGGAATCAATGCTGTGCTCAGAGCCGCTGTTCTAGTCTCCTCGCCTCACACACTCATGCCCTCTACACAAATTATTCTGACCTTCAATTTCAGACTCAGACCATTAGTCCCTATTTATTTCACTATCTTTGCATTTCTAAGAACCCTACATACATATTTCAAAATTACTGTAAATGTGGCAATTTGCTTTGGAAGAGAAAAACACCAATACTTTCCTAACGACCACTTCACAGCACCAACTTCCCTAACACTTCTGTTTGGAGGCTATTCATGTCGGAAAGAACGCCTTTCTTCATAATGCAAACAATGCCCTTTTCCTTTCTAGGCAGAGCCAGGAGGACACAACTCACTGTTATTGAGATCAGAAATAAGCGAAAAATAACCAGGATCCAGCAGCTTAATAAGTCCGTGACCCCAGCAAGGACACAGAACGGGGAGCTGTGAACAAGCTGAAGCTGTAATAAATGCTGCGTACACCTAAGTGTTTTCACCTGCACGGGGAGGGGACTACACATCCTAGAAGCACATTCACCTGTTTCAGCTCTTCTTTCACAAAAAGCCCAGCCATTTTGCCACACTCCTACCTCTCCTTGGGCCCTGCCTTCCCGTTTCTACCCTGACTCCTCCCTGCCACTGTGCCCACTTCTGGCAAAGGGGGCAGCTACTCCAGAACAGTCCAGGAGGCAAATGTCCCCTGATACCTTCACTCTCAGGTGACCCCTCATAACCTGCTTCCTGCTTTCTCTAAGACCTTGTCTTGCCAGATCCAGTGGCGAGTGAATCTTCACAGGCATCCCTCAGAGGGAGAAATCTCTGTGCTAAAGGACATTTTAGTTTCCTCTCCCTGGGTTTTCACTGATTCCATCAAACCAGTGTGGCCAAAGCCTGAACACAAGCATCCAGGGCAGCATTATTTGTGAAAACCAGAAGCTGTGAACACCCCAGTCTCTTTCAGTGGGTGAAGAGCTAAGCAAACCGTAGTGTTATCTACAATGGGCCTGGCACAGCAGCAGAAAGGAGTGAGCTATGAGTGCGCCTGGTAACGTAGATGAACCTCTTCCACCAAGAGAAGCTAACCTCAAAGGCATACATCCTATACAATTCCATGTGACGTTCTTAAATGACAACACCATAGTGACAGAATGAATCACTGGTTGTTGGAGCACGAAGAGGGGATCGGGATGTGATTGTAACAATAAAGATATTTTGGGGAGGCAGACATTCTGTATCCTAATTATGAAGACTATCCTTAACTATATATGGGTTAAAACTTACATAGCTAAATAGCAAAGGAAAAAAGTCAATTTTTGCTGTACAGTAATTAAAAAAAAACAATAAAATGAAATATAAAAACTATATAAATATAAAATGAAAAATAAAAAAAAAGGCAAATACTACGCATGAATTCCGTCCGAGTTACTGCTCCTTGGCCCTGCTTCCCGGGGGCTCCTGGGAGCCCTCCTTCCCTGAACTCTCCAGCCAGCCCCCTGGGAATACGCCTGCTATGCATCTCCCCACTCGCCTCATCTTATTCTATGAGGTGGTCAGTATATGATCCCCCTGCCAAGTGGGGGAATTTCAGCTGGATCAAGAATGGCACTACATAACTTCAGCTTCCACAGTAGGAGGTTGTCTCTGAAATTCCCTCGGATCTTCTGATCACATGGGGCTGGGGACGGGGCCAGGACAGAGGTGAGAATTAGTCTGGATCTTGGAAACCGCCCCCATTAACGCCCCTGTTTAACAAAGGAGCATTTCAGTCTCAGAAAGAACGATGAGCTGCCCAGAATTTAGTCCCTTTTTGTGGTCATAAAAATGCTCACTTTTTTAATTCCGTATCATTAGGACATCAACTTTTCTTAAGTTGAAACAAAAGAAAAGCAATATAATAATTTCCTAGATTTCAAAGTCTAGATTTTTCCCAGACCCACATAACATGTCACTTTGTTATTTTGTTAGGGGTCTTAGAGGACTGGATTCACTGGGGCAATGAACGTGACTAAAACACAACAGGGAACAAACCAGTGTGGGCTCCAGCAATCTGTTGACCTTTTGGAAGAAAAGATGCCATTTGCAGTAATGTCCTCAGGACCTGCCTGGACTTCCCCCGGGACAGAACTAACAAAAGATGAGATAGTACTGCCAGACAGAAAGAGTAAGCGAGGAATTCCTGAACATTAAACGCGCCTGAGGCCAAGGAAAGTTTGAGACGCCCCGGTGCCTGCCAGGGATTGGCAGCGGGACGGCCACACCGTGCCGACGCTGCCAGGGTCACTGGAACAGCTGAGCACGGCCTCCAGCCATAAGATGGGCAGCATTACAGTGGAAAACACTGGGCAAGAGAGAAAATTCCATTTTTGCTGAACTCAGTGTTTTCCAAAACAATGTCAGTGACCGAAGATGACGGGAAATTGATGACCTTAATCTTAAAAAACCAACAGAAAATTGCTTTAAAATTGCATGGTAAAATAAACTCACAGATTTTTAAATGAAAGCAAAATTATTATCTACCAAAAAGTGGTGTTCACTCCTCACCAGAACTGCAATAGATTTTCCTGTGTCCTCATCAACCAATGCCTTTCATTAAAAAGCGATCACTGCCAATGTGACCCAGGGGAAATGGCATGTTGTTTTACTGTACATTTCTTTTAATCTTAATAGGTTTGATGTTATTAATTTTTTGACTGGGCTCCTAATATATTTAGAATAGTATCATTTTCCATCCTATTTATCTTGAAAATAATTTCCCAGTTTGTCACCTGCCTTTAGCTTTTATTTGTGGTTTTCATTTTTACAAATAAGACTTTATAGAGTTTTGTGCACTGAGACATTTAAGCACTTTCCTTTGGAAATTTTCTTGACTGGTTTTACTGTTAAAGTGACCCTTTACCTAACAGAGACCAACCAATCTTCACATCGAGTTTTTTCTCATTTTTCTATGGTTTGATCTATTACATTGAACTATTTAATTGATCAGGCATTTATTTTGGTATATGGTTAGAGTATGTTTTTGTTTATTTCTGTGTGGTAAGACCTCCCCCAATCATGAATAAGCTAACTCGTCCCCCTTGGTTTCAGTCGCAGCATGAGAAATCCTGTGCACTGGGGTCAGTGCTGGTGTTCCTCGGCTCCCCTCATCTTTCTGCTGAGCCAAGAGCCAAGACCACCTTGTTTTGATCCTTAGAATGTGCACGACATTTTCATATCTAGTGGAAGTTACTCCTTATAATTATGCTGTCCTCTACCACTTCTCTCCAGTTCCTGAGGAAAATGTTTCTCCGGTTCCATTTCAGGGAGAGACTCTGGGTGTTGTCTGTGGGCCTGCACCCAGCAGCCTGCAGAGTACACGGGAAGGCCCCGGCGGGGCTGGCACGCGGCCTGGGGCCCAGGCTGCAGCGATCTGCAAGAAATAACCGCCCGACCCAGCCTCGGTTATTATGGAGGAAAAGGTTGAGGCCCTGTCAGGAGGGAATTCCAGTCCAAAAAGTGGGCTGCCCCAGGCCAGTGTGAGACCAACCCCCTGCCAGAGGAGCATCTCTGGGGATGATGCTACAACTGCCCTTCAGGTGGTGACCAGGGAGGGACACGATGGGAGGAATGAGAGCAGAAGGGTGTTGTCACCATCTTAAAAGGAGGATGGGACTCACCCCCGGGAATTTTTCACTCAGCCCCCAGCACTCAGAATTCAATAAGCAGTGGAATAAGAGCACCTTCATCTCTTCCTGACCATGTACTATTTCCTTAGAGTAAAAATTGCTAATTAGTTTCTTTAAGAAAAATGTTTTTGAGGGGACATCTTTATAGGAAAAGTTGTCATAAAATTCTGTCATAATCCTGGTTTTATTGGAAAAGACCAAAGCACAGGAAGCAAGCAGACACAGGGCTTCACACATGTGTGCACCAGTACGCAGGCACACATACCATGCGTGAGTGCAAAGGGTTTTCTCCTGCGAAGAAGCATGCCACAGCCATGGTTTCCGCCATGGTGATGGGGCCCGTGGGATGTGGCTCTTAGTCAGAAGGCAAATTCTAAATGTTCACATTGTATTAGTTCCCTAGGGCTGCCATAATCAGTTACCACAAACTGGTTGGCTTAAAACAACAGAAATTTATCCTATTAAGGTTTGAGAGGCTAGAACTGTGATAACAAAGTGTTGCAGGGTCATGCTTCTCGCTGAAGCGTGAAGTACCCTCAGGGAGGGAACTTCCTTGCCTCATCCTGGATTGGCTGCTGGAAATCCTTGGCTTTCTTTAGCATCACCTGGTTTATAGAAGTATCACTCCAATCTCTGCCTCTGTCTTCATGTGGCCGTCTTCCTCATGGACATGTATATACGTCATCTTCCCTCTAGGTCTGTCTCTTTTCCTGTTCTCATAAGGACACCAGTCAACTTGGATAGGGCCCACTCTAATGACCTCATGTTAACTTGACTACATGACCCTATATTTTCAAATAAGGTCACATTCATAGGTACCAGGGATTATAGCTTTTGAGGGGAAACAATTCAGCCCATAACAAACATTGACCAACCTTGTTCACTAAAGTCATTGCATAGACTAGCAGCTCCGTGTCGACCCCATCTTTTTCCTCCAGGATTTCCATGATATTTGACCAGGGTATGACTCCTATGAGCAAAGCAAAAATCATTAGGAACAGAAATTCAACATTCCTTATTCAACTCACTTCAGGGTTTATCTACAGATTCTCTACCCAATGATGGCAGTGTCTCTCTGTCACCAAATATCAAAGTGTGACACGAGCTTCTAATTTGTGATGATATACCCCATTATCCTTATGTACTTGAAAATGCATATTTTTCAGTGTCAGGAGGCCTATCAATTTGATTGAAAGTTCGTTTTATATTAGTTATGTGACTTTCAAAAAGTGCATTCACATGCAGTGTTTTAGGCCATGTATTTCACTCTCTAAGTGCAAAAATTTCTGATAATTTATCTCTGAGCATCAGTGCTCTATGCTCTGATCTCCTGCAAGGGAAGGGGATGTGGACGATCTTTACACTCATGCTAGCAGGGGGCTGTAGGGACTAATAGTGAAACGCATGTCTAGCAAACATTTCAAGAACAGAAGTATATTATCTCTATTTAATCAAGATATAACTACTGTCTAAGCTTAAACCAGGTACAAGGCACTGGGTCTAGTGGGAGGCTGCCCTCAAGAGTTTTACAATCTAATGTAGCAGGAAGGCCTGAGCACCAGAACACACGGCAACACAGAGTGAAGGCACTCAAAAGGCAAAAGCACTTATCGACACCTGACGCTCAGCGAGGGAGGTCTCCTGAGTGCAGCTGGTTTGGAGGTCTCGGCACAAAGGAGGTTCCTAAATGGGGCTCTGCAGGCATAGGCTCATGGGTGGTTACCCCCTGACTCCAGGGGGAAGCAGGAAGACTTGCACATCAGCACGGCCAAGGCCAAGGCTGCAAAAGGGACGCAACACCCTGACACAGTTCCTGGGCCTGAGGCAAATATTTGAAGTGCTGCCTTGCCCTTGGCGTGGGCGTGCGGAACATGAAGCTCTTTCCTGCTTTCTCTGTAAAGATCTCAAGGATATTGCTTACCTTTTGCTGATCAAAGTAAATTCTAAACTAACCTAAAACCAGTGTCTTCTAAATGCTGGTTCTTGGATGGGTTGTGTCAGAGCAAAATGTCTGCTGAAAAGGGAATCAAGATCCCTGAGAAGGCACGATGTGGGTTAAGTTGGGGCATTTTTAAAAGAACTAGAGGGTACATGCACACAGTAAGATAAGGAGAGAGGACAGAAGGATTTTTAAAAAGGAACAGGAACCTACTATACGATGTGAAAGACAGAGATGTAGTTTGATGTGGAGATCGGTTGGCTCTCCATCAAGTGAACAGAGCCTTTTCCTTGAGCCAAGTTGCCCAGTTGGTCAGAAAGAGACAGGTTTCCATAACCCTTTCAAATTCTGAACACAAATGCATGAACCTTTGCCTATTAACTGCTTAATTATCTTCTTGCTGATGTTTATCACCAAACTATGTTGAAGTCCTCGCTTATTCTTCAAACCCTAGCAAAGTAACCACTTCTGCCCTCAGGACAGTCAATCGACGGGGTTAGTAGGTCTTGGGTCTCACTGCCCAGGGGCATTTCAAGCACTTTAAGTGCCCGTGCTTGTGTTTATAACAATAATAAGGGCAACTTCTATTATTCACATTCAGTACCCGACCCTAGCAGAAAACACATTTTTATCAGTTATCCGTGCATGATTAAAGGGAAGACTGTACAGGAGAGAAAGCACTGAAGTTAGGAACTTTAGTGGTGCTGGTGGGCCCAGAACTGCACCCTGATTGCATATTTTGGAGCCAAAGATGCAAACACAGCAAGGGCAGGAAAGGCTGAGAAGCAAAGGGAAGCACCTTATAGAGGGGCAAGTAGCCAGATTGTATCCTCCCTCTCTCACATATAGACAAACCCAAATATTAGCTTAATTTAATTGAAAAACAAATTCTTCAGCTGAGATATCTGATTCCCTTATTAGTATTTAAGGATTTTTAAGTCTGTAAACTAGGATATATTGTAAAATAGGATACTATTGGGATGAATGTTCATTCTACTTTTTGGTGGGACCAGAAAATGGAAAATATTTAGAAGAATGAAGGTAAAGGGGAGAAAACATTTTGGTTCAACACAACAGCCTTGGCCGGGCTCAAGCTGGCCTAGGTTAAGCACCAGCAGCTGTAACTTTCCCTGTAGTGGCCACCTGCTGGAACTAAGTGGTCCAGTTCACCAGAGCACTGCCTTTGCTTGGCCCATACAGTGATTATCTGTGTGCGTGTGTCTGTGTGTGTAGGTGGGAGGGGGGAGGGGTCCTGTTATAGAATCATAAACCATATAATCTAATTTCTCCACATAATATAGAAAGACACTGAGCCCCAGAATGGTGGAATGAATTGCGGCTCAGGAAATGCATCTGAATTGGAGGGACAGTATCAATCTCACAGGATTACTGTGAGGTATCACTGAGATAAACACTTCACCTTTTTGCCTTAACACTGACAAAGAAGTACATTAGAGGACAATAATTTCCTTAATCATGATCCTTTGTCCCTCTCCAACTCTGCCCCCAATCACTGGAGTGAATGTAGGCTCTGTGAGAGCCTGTTTTTTTCTCTGATGTTTCAAGCACACAGTTGGTATTTAAATATCAAAAATATAAAAAATTCTTATATGGAAAATTCTTAGCATGGTGCCTGTTACAGGGTAGGCACAAGAATGTCAGTAGCTGTAATTGTAATGGGCGTTGGGGGTAGCGATGACGCCCCCAGGGGACAGGCTCCTAGGCCAGTCTTCTCTTCCCACCAAACCAAGGTGCCTCTCTCTCAACCCAGGATAAATAAGCACAGAATAAATCGCTCAGTACTTTCCCCCTTTTACTTTCCTCCTAGGTCTCTGCATTAAACCCCAAAGAAAATAATACATTTAGCAAAATGCCTTGTACAAGAGTTGGTCTAATATTCGAACAGAAGGTCCTCACAGTATGTTCCATGTCTTTCAACACGATTGATGAACACACTTAACATACATACTTCGGCTATAAATACTAATGGAAATAGATCTTGAGTTCTGTCAACCCCTGACTTCCACCATGCTCTGTACATTCTTCACAGATCAATACATCCTCCAGCAGAAGTCAGAGACAGGACAGCTTGAAAGGAAGGCTAGATATTTCCCCCTGTTAATCATGTGTGGAACAAATGTTTAAGAATTATGTCATATCTCATCGCCTCACATTCAAATGAAAAATGGAACTTCTTCAAAAGCAGTACTAAAAAAAAAATGAAGGAAAAGGCAGACTGAACCAAATTAGTGCTGACTCACAATTTATGACTGAAATTTCAAAACTGGTTACCCAGACTGGTCACTTGCCCCATCCTCTGTCTGAGCGACAAACCCTGATAGTCAGAGGGAAGGGCCCCCTTCCCAGGGCTGCAGAAGGCTCTCCGCCAGTTCCTCGTTGATCACCACAAGGAATTTGCAAGGAAAGGGGGTCTCTGTTATGGCAGCATGATGAAGCAAGACCCTTTTACGGGCTTGCATGTGCATTTTACTGTCTTTCTATCTTTTTGCTGGTCCCTGTCCACTAGAAAGAGAAAGTGACTTGAACATCCAACCCAAAGGGAAGATGACTCAACAGTCTGAGCAGACATGTGTGTCTGCTTTAATGCAGTTGTTTTTGTTGTTTTTTTAACACATTGGGGAAAGATGGCCACCGCTTTGTCTTGGGCGGGGGAAGCTGAGTAGAGCACAGAGCCTTTGTATCATGCCCCAAGGGCCACCTGAAATCCACCTTTTCATTCCAGCCCCTGAGCAAATGTGTCAATTGCCTGGATCAAACCGGGCATTTTTAATTTTCATTAATTCATAAATATCTATTCGGCCCTCTGTAGGACTTAGACCCCTCAGCTTCTTGCCAGCTCCCTAACTGGACCACTCGTGGCCAAAGAGTAAACTGTCCACACTCACACAGTGAACTCTGCTGGTTAACCCACATGTGACAATGTTCGTAAAGCCACTAGGGGAGTTTATTCTGGGGCAGCTCCATTTGCTGTTGGTGGAAGTAATATTTGAGGACTTGTAGCTTATTTGCTCATTTTCTTTGTTGATTCTTTGAATCTGATAGTTTTCATCATCCAAATGAATTCCTTTCTATTAAAACAAACCAGTCTATACTTTAACATATCCATTCTCTGCCCTATCTCCCCAGAGGAATGTGTCTAAAGCCACTTGACAAGTAAAATTTATGGCTTAAATTTGTGCACAGTGGTCATGTTCAGTTGGCCCTTGGTCACCTCTGGCACCTCTGTCTACTCTCACTCTGCCCAGAGGAAGTGGACAGCTGCTTCTCAACCTGCTGGTGGAAAGGCACCTAGAAGGCATGTTGCTCTCTGCAAACACCCTGATGTATTTATATGTTTAATTCCATCATGGGATTTAGGAACACTTTTACTAGCAGTAAAATAGAATGATGTTATATGCATGCATTATAAAATTATGGCCAAGACCACACATGTCCACAGAGTAACATGCTATTGAATCACATGTGATAAGCAAAGTCTTAATTGTTTCCATTAGTGATATTCCTTTTTTTCCCCCTGGCTGCTAGTGCTCAGTAGCAGAGAGATGACAGTGGTTGCCCAAAACTTAAGAGATTTTATAGGCAAAAAAAGGATAAAAGAAAAGAGAAGAAACATGAGGTTAAGTAATTAATCTATTAGTTTCTTTAATTTTTTTTTTTAACAAATTGGGGAAAGATGGCCATGATTTTGTCTTGGAGAAGAGACTGAGTACAGCACGGAGCCTCTGGCTGGGACAGTAGATGGAGTCCTGAATGAGGGTGCCATGCCCTGGGCTTGTCTCGGGATGGCTCCCCCAACCCACAACACTCCCTTTATGAAATGTGAAGCCCAAGCAAGGAAACTCTGAGCTCCCAACTCAGCAAAGTCAAAGCACAACCCCAAGGTCATGCCAAGGGCCCCTAGGTTACGTGAAATTTAAGACAGGAAAATGAAGAGTCCATTCATCCTCCTAAAGTAACCCCCAGAGCTGGGAAATGGCGCCTGGCTCCTCCAAGCCTGAATGAAAGGATCTGCCTCGCTGTCTTCCCAAACAACTCCCTTTGGCCCTAAATCTCATTCACTGGCCTCGGATACACCAAATCTGGTTTCTTAGCTATTGGCAGTCTTCATTAAGGATTCACAGGCTGGCCCCATGGTCTACTTTTGGCCATAAGAAATTTCAAACCTAATACCAGATGGCAACATGCTATGGGAGAAAAAAACACATAGGCCTGCCCTGACCAGGAACCCATCGTCCAGACTCACAGCCCCTGGCTGTACACTAGGGCTTGTCTCTGTCACGCACATCCACACAGAGGCCCAGAGAGGACCCCGGCCTGCAATCCACCATGTGGGGAGCTGGCATCTGCCTGTGCATTCAGGGGAAAAGTATGGGAGCCCAATTTATGGTTCTGGATGGTTTTCATTAACTTATATCCCAATCTTCAAAGTAACCAGTGATCTACTTTCTTTGACCTTTGAATTTAGCCCTGGAAGACGGGTTTCAGGGCAACATTGAATCTCACACACAAATAATTTGAATCAAAAAGGGTTAGTTAGGCCCCTTGTTTCCTTTTGACAGTTGTATCTCGGCTGATTTGTGCGTGGCCTTGTGCACAGGTATGCATACACAAAACCGTAAGGAAATACATCACCATGTTAACACTATTTCTCTCTGGTGAGATTGGAGGTTACTTTACTATTGTCTTCTTTATACTGTTCTATTTATAAATTTTCTACATAGAGTATTACTGTTATAATCATAAAAAGAAAATAAATGTTATCAAGTTTTTGTTCGTTGAGTTTTACTGGGATGATGATGATTATGATGATGATGATGATGATAGTATCTTACTGGGGAAGAAAACCAAAAGGTTTTTTTGTGTGTTTTGTTTTGTTTTTTTAGGATAAAATAAAGTACAAAAGCCCAACCTCTTAGCTTGAGGCTTCCCACTATTATAGGGGCCATAGCATGTTACACACTAAACCAAATCCAAAGCTGATTCTTCACCAGGTAGGTGACACAGGCCAACTAGGCGCTGGGGCATCGACAGGAGAGCCAGGCACGCTGTCCTCAAGCAGGGCACGCACTCAGGAGAGACGGGCAAAGAAAACAACGCAGCAGAGAAGAGGGGCACGCGGCTTTGAGAGTGCAGAGCTGTCTGGCCCAGGGTAGGGAGGGCGTGGTGCAGGCCCGGTGGGAGATTGGGGTGCAGGCGGACAGGGGCTGGATGCTACAAGGTCCAGTGAAGGATTTAGACCTAATCCTGTGGGCACTGGCAGCCACTGGCAGGTATTAGGTGGCAAATGATGTGACCAAATTTGTGTTTTAGAAGAATCTTCCAGCTGCAAAGGCCAGGGTAGCACTTTGGGGAGGCAAAGGACACCAGGTGACAGATGGTGAGGGCTCCCAGTGAGGAAGGGTTGTGGGATGGAGGAAGGGGAACAACGAGGGGCCAGAGCCAATAAGAGCATGTATGAAGGGCGGGGAGGAAAGGGCCAAGATGTCGCGGGCAAGGTGGGAAAGGAGAAGGAGCTGGTCCTGTGTGTGTTCAGTGGCAAGGGCTGGGGACAGAGTGTAAAGACAAGCCCAGGGTCAGGCCTGTCCTATGAGTGCTGCCAACCTTTGTTCTGTCTCTAATCTTCATATATTTACTATCCTCCCAAAATATGTTTCCTGCAGTGGGAGGTCCACACAAAGGGAATTCTGTTTATTGCTAATCTTGTTTTGAACATGGGAGAAGTGGAAGGCTTCCTGCATCAGATATTTTTACCTTGGTGAAATGAGGGTGGCGGGGACCACTCACCTCTTTTTGTGTCGACAGCAGAGACGGCCTGGATCAGAAGGGGCGCATTGGACTCCGAGTACTCCACGAAGACAAGCAGCAGCTTCAGGGCTGTCTTCACCACCAGGCGGAACTGCGCAGAAAAGAAACCATCACGTAGGGACAGACACAGCCATGTGCACCCACAGGCCTCACTCTTAACAGCAGCTGGCACCCAGAGCTTGCTGCGGGCCAGGTGCTCTTTTCAACTTACACAGGATTCTTCATCAGTGCCTCAGAAGGCAGGTGTTAGAATTACCCTCCTTGCACAAATCAGGAAACTGAGGCACAGAGTACCCTGCCCAAGAACACACCTCTAAAGTAGAGCCAGAATTTGAACCCAGGGCCATTGGTCCCAGCACTCACACCCAGGAGTCTCCAATATCCCGGGCAGTGGTTGCTGAATCAGTTACAGTAGTTCCCCCTCATCCACGGGGATGCATTCCAAGATCCCAAGTGGACGCCTGAACCCGCAGATGGTACCAAACCCTTTCTACTATGTTTTTTTCTTATACGTACACATGCATGATAAAATTTAATTCATAAATCAGGCATAGTAAGAGATTAACAACAATAACTTAAAATAAAAAGGACAACTATAATATACTGTAGTAAGTTATGTGAATACGGTGTCTCTTATTGTACTATACTCACGCTCTGTTTGTGATGATGTAAGACGATACAAGGCCTACATGATGAGATGAAGTGAGGTGAATGACGTAGGCATTAGGGCGTAGTGTTAGGCTACTGTAACGGTAACTTGAACACAAGCCCTGCAATACTGGGACAGTCATCCTGATAACCGAGGTAGCTATTAAGTGCCTACCAGGCAGAGAGCACAGTACAGTGTGGATACACTGGACAACAGGATGATTCGTGTTCATATCCCAGGTGGGATATAGCAGGACAGCACAAGATTTCATCATGCTACTCAGACTGGCAAGCAATTTAAAAGTCATGAATTGCTTATTTCTGGAATTTTCCATTTAATATTTTCAGACCACGGTTGACCGTGGGTAACTAAAACCACAGAAAGCAAAACCACAGGTAAGGGGGAAGGGGAGATTACTGTACTCTGCCTTTTTTAGACTAGGATATTATAAAGTAGGAATGATCACAATGCTTACTTTTCTGGTGAGGACACAAGGACCAGGAGGTTAAATGACTTGTCCAACATCACAACAGCTAACTCACGTGAGCAGGAATCTGAACCATAAGCCGTTCTTAAAACTGAGCAAAGAAGGGTATCCAGGGCCTTAAAACCCACACTTGGTGGGTCCAAGGCATAGCATTTGTGAGGAGCCACACACAGCCCAGGGTCCCTCCCTCACACAAGTCACAGGTGACTCGCCCAGAGAAATACCCAAACCTCCCAAGTCTGCACAGCCAGCCCTGGGCTGTGGCAGGTGCGGAGGATTTCAGGTCAGCTCCGTCCCTGTCCCCCTGAGTCACTGAAGCAACCTTCACCCACAGTCTTCCTTTCCTGGACCCACTTCCTTCTAAGAACCTCCACCTCAGGACACTCACATAGCAACTATTTACTGGAAATGGGTTTGAATCGTGCATCTAAGGAACCATAAGCCTGCCTGGCCTGCTCTCCCCACCCCCAGCCGTTTGTCTGCCAGTGCCCCGCCCCCAACAGACAGTCAGGTGGTGCAGGGGAGAGGGGCTCACTTGCACTGTGTCTGCAGGGCCTGGAATGGCGTTTGGCACGGAGTGGGCTTAGCAATGTTTCCTCAGTGAACGAATGAGTCGATTAATGACTCTCACCTCCACCACCGTGGGTGTGGAGAATCGGCTCCAGGCTCTCCACCTGCAGCCCAAGGAAGACCCAGGGCCTCCTGCAGGGGTCTTCTCCATCAGAATATTAGGGACATGTGGAGACTTTACAGAGAATGTGGAGCCCTGTGCCCAGAGGGAACAGCGTAAGAGCAGCACGCACCCTGTCATTTCTCCAAAACCATGCAAACACCTCCACTCCCTTGGCCTTTTCTCCTCTGTCACACCACATTAGTCTTTCTTTTCCTGGAATCCACAGCTCTCCAGACAGTCCTGTGGTTCTTAGAGGCCCTTTATAGCGAAACTTCTCGAAAGAGCTGTTATCTTTCTGGCTCCACTTCTTCACTTCCAGATGACTTCCTCAACAGAATCCAACAAGGTCTCTATCACCACCAAGCACATTAAATTACTCCTGTTAAGGTCGCCAGTGGTCTCCATGCAGTCAAATACAGTGGTCACTTCTCTGTGCTCATTTTAGTTCAATGAAATGTCCTCTCCAGAAACATTATCCTCCTACCATGGCTGACTCAGGCTCCTACCTGAATGGACATCCCTTTGTTGGCTCCTTCTATGGAACTCAGTCAACCTCTGGGTGAAAACAAGGCCCGGAGTGCACTCCTGTGCCCTTTCCTTCTCTCTCCACACACTCTCTCTAGGTGAGCTCATCCAGTCTCTTGGTGTTAAGTCCCATCTGTGACTCAGTGCTCACTGTTGTTCCCCAGGCCTGACCAAACTCCTGGTCCAGATGACTGCACACTCACCTGACCCCTGGCTCCTCCACTCGGATGCTAACAGGCACATCAAATTCCATGTGGCCAAAAGAGAACTCTTGATTTTTACTCATGCTCACTCTATCCCACCTACAGCTCCCAGCCTGTTGCTTGCACAGTCCCCAACTCAATCCAAGGACCCACCAACCCAAGTGGCAAGTGGGAGTCACCCTGAACTTCTCTCACCCCATTCTTACAACAAATCCATCTGCCGGTGGGGACAGACCTCCTTTCGAGAGCTGCCCTGATTCCATCTACCTCCCCACCTCCCTGTACACCTGGACCACTGGGAGAGCCTCCTATGTATATACATCCACTTTCTCCCCCTTAAGTCAGTCACCGAACAGCGGCCAGAGTGACCACCACACTGTCAATGCCCCCCGACAGCTCTGCCTTGGACTCAGGAGACAACCCACTCCTGTAGGGCGTAGGTCCTGTCCCTCTCCCTCCTGCCCAGTTTCCTCCTACCTTTCTTTAGTCATGTGACTATATGCTTTCAACATGCTGAAGGGTGTTTATGATTGAGAGTCTTCTTGTTGGCTATTCCCTAAGCAGTCACCATGGAGTGGCCTTGTCCTATCCTTCAGGCCTGAGACACTTCCCCTCATGGGAGATGTCTTCCTGACTACTTCATCTGAAGGAGCCCCTTGTCACTCTCACATCACCCAATGTTCTTCACATCCTTTATTATGACTTGAAATTTCTGCGCACGCATTTGTTCACCGGATACTCCTTTGTGGCCTCCAGCTAAAACATAAGCCCTGTGGCAGAGATGTTTAATCTGACACGCAGGAAACAGCATCTGACCCCCAGGAGCCGCTCCATCAGTACCGCATGAGAAGGGCAGGCGGGCACACTCTTTTCACAGAGGCTTTGTCTTCAAGTCCATCCCCCTGATACTGTGTGGAGCAAGTCATCTTGGCCCCAACTACCATTTCCTCACCCCATCACGGTCCCCAGCAAAGCTGAGGCCCCTGCACAATTACACTAAAGACAAGCAGCATCTTGAACTTCCAATTTCACAATTATGTCCTTGGCACACTGGGGATTAAGTTCTTCAGAGGGATTTCAGCTCTTTAGGGCATTTCACCTTTATAACTTCAATCTCACATTTGGTCCTCTGTTCCCTGAGATGGAATAAACTAAATTCCGGGGTGTTTTTTTCACCAACTACAAGGCTGGGGGTAAGAAGAGAAGGCATGGCATAATGAACTGCACTATCTTTGTACATTCAGGGCTGCAGAAATTTCTCCAAGTAAATAAAACTCCCAGCAAGTCCAGGCTTGGTGACTTCCTCAGTGGGCGGACTGTCATTATGTGGTTTAAGCCTTCTCGGTGCCTTCCTGGGAAAGAACCTGGCCGCTGCCCAGCCCCGCTCTCCCGTTAGCTGCTCTTGCAGGGGCCTCCTAATGCCCATCTCATCGAGGTTGCTTTTGAGCATCTCTGTGGTCATGGCCTTGGTTGACATGGTCCCAGGACCCAGAGCCATTCTCCATTATTAGGTTCTCTAATTAAGAAACCACTGTTTTCCAGCAAATCTTTTTCTGTTGGTCTCAACATGCCTATTCATGTTGTCTTCTCCTTTGCTGTAAAGAATTCATGTGGAGCTTTTTTTTTTCTTTTGGCACTGTAAAGATGGGGGAGAGAGAACTCCCAAACCCTTGATTCATGATTTCAGATTTCTATGAATTTGGCTTCAGTTGAGTCTAAGTTTACGTTTATATGTGTTTGGAAGACTTACTATGTAAAAATCCATAATATATTAGGTAGTTAAACTACTTTAGAAAAGAGAGGGCACTAGAACATTAACTTTATGGAAATGCATGGTACTAGCTGTGAGTATGTCCTAACTAATCATCAAAATACATCCAGCAGGGCTCCTCCCCAGAAATACCTTACTAGCATTACTGCATGCACTTGAAAGTAATAAAAGTACATTACTTCAAAAGATCTCTACATCAATCCCTCACTTATCCAGAAAGCACTCAATCTGATGCCCGCAAGTATGTGGAATGCAATCAAAACCATCCAACGCCTTGGAACAGCCACAATGGGGGCCACACGCCCATTCCTCCAAGTCCAAAGACCTTACTGCTCATCTCAGAGCTCTTGAAAATCCACACTTGGTACCACTTGTGCTTCTCTTAGACACTCGAATAGGAGTGGCTATGGAGACTCTTGGCCCCCATCCTCTGAAAGGGGCAGAGGAGAGACCAGTGACAGGTTGGGTAAGGCAAGTCCACTGCAGCACCAAGAGCAAGGATCATGAATGAGGAGGATGGGAACAAGCCACACAGCTGCCAGCGCACACACCACTGTGTGGCTCAGGCACTGGATGCTTCTCTATGGGATGTGGCGGTGCCACTTCAACCCGAATCGTCTCATTTTCAACTCTGCCTTCATGTTCCCCTTCACGTTCTAATGAACAGTCTCATTGAAATGACTTTCAACCTCAAACACTTGCTTGTATGTCTAGCACCAAGGGAAAATCAATCAGAATTGATTCTCATTCTTCTGGACAATCGATCACTTGGAAAGATAAAGC